CAGCAGGAAGTGGGGAGCAAGTGATGGGTTCAGCCTGCCACACAAAGGAGAGTGAAGGCCCGGGCAGTGTCCGATGGACCCCAGGAGGAATGAAAAGCTCTGCCACCCCAGGGACCTCAGGTTATCCCTAGCACAGGTGGAGGGGGCTATCTGGCAAAGAAAGAAAAGTGCAACCCCAGGGAAGGAGGCTGGAAGCAACACCTTCAGGTAAGGCAGAAGGACACAAAGCAGTCATGGGAGGAGGAGAGGTGAAAGGTGACATGAAAGCTTGAGAAACAAGGCAGCCTTCATATGTAGCCAAAGCAATGGTTGAATGGGAGCTATGGAGTTGGGCTAAACCTCAGCATCAGAACATCACCATGGATGGGCTTGCTCAGAAGCCCAAGGAAGAGATGGGAGCACATCAAGGGAGATGTGCTCCACAGCCTGGGAAGTGGAGGGAGACAGCTTTGCTGGGGGCTTCAGGGAAAGGTTAAAGGGTGAAGAGCTGTCAGGCAGGTCTGGCTGTGGGCCACTGAACTGAGAGAAGTAAAACAAGGCTACTTAAGCCCAGTCACATGAAAGCCAGAAGCAGTAGTCTGTGCTATCACTGTGCACCAACCCCTGGAGCCTGCCCACTTCAGGCAGGGGTAGGCAGGCAGCCCGTCCTGTGGGGTGAAGGCAAGCTATCCCCACAGGCACATGAGATGGAAAGCATTGCAGCAGCTGCAGGAGTATTCTATATGCCTAAAGTCAGCAAGGTGAAAACACAGGGGTGACTAAACACGAAGTAAGAGAACTGAAGGGAAAAAACCAAGATAGACTCCAGCGTAAAATGAGTGCTAGTTAGTCTAGGACATAAAAGGCAACAAGCAAAGACTCTGTAAATACATTAGCAGGAAACACTGGGGAATGTTGGTCTGGTCCTTATCGGCAGGGGAAACAAAAGCCAGCCAAGCTGGCTGGAGCAGCTGGAGTGGGCTTTGTTCCAGCCATCAAAAATGCTCGTGGTGACCAGACAGGGTGCAGAACACGTCTGAAGTGTTTGAATAAGGTGAAAGAGCACAGGGAGGGAAAGGTCATACTACGATGGAGAGGTTCAACATTCGGATATATAAAGCAGTTACATCCATACTGCTAAAGGCTTGTTGCAACTCATCTTCACATCTTAATGCTCCTGCAGTCCCTGAAAAGTTGGCAGTTCTTTCTGAGATGGAGGATAAAGGAGGTTTCAGAGACCCAAGGAAGGGTAAATCTGGTAACCATCTTCAAAAACAGAGAAGGGAGAATCCATGATTACAGACTGCTCACCCCCATTCCTGTAAGCAGACCAGGTTTGTGAGTGATTAGGTCATAGCCCTTCAAAGGATATCAGGGTCATTAAATAGCTGGTGCAGATCTGTTAAGGTCTGATTACGTTAAGCCAATCTGGTTCCCTTCAGTGACCTGATAACTGGTCTGTCAGATAAGGGAGAAGTGGTGGATATGATGTGCCTTGGCCAAGGTGAGGATTTCAACACACTGTCACATGACACACTCAAGCAGACTGAGAAAATACAGTCCAGATGAAACTGCAGCAATTGCACAATGTGCTGCAAAGCCACACACCAAAGGTAATTAGCAATACCTGTCTGCTACAATAAAAGACATTTAAAGCATAGCCTGCAGGAGTCTGTCCTGACCCCTACTCAAGATAAATGTTGTCATTAAGGTGGATGAAGAATTCCCTTGCTTATAAAACGTATGTGTGTGACACCAGGCTGCAAGCGCTTTGAGAATGAGTCTGAATGAGTTCAGACTCATTCTGATCAAGCAGAGAAGCCATCCAAAATCAACCAGACAAAATTCAATGAAGTCAAATGCAAAAGAATCCTGTGGCTAAGGAAAGTGAAACAATGCACAAATGCAGAACGGAGAGTAACAGCTCAGGCAGCCATTCTGCCCAGCAGCACTTTGGGAGGCAGAGACCATGGGTTCTGTACAAAGAAGCTACATGATCAGTAAGGAGCTGGGAGGTAGAGTAAGTAAAGCTGTGCCTAAGGAAAAAGAGAGTCTTCATCTGCTCTGTTGACTGCCTGGGGCCTCAGCTGACTTGGGGAGCTGCACTGTGAAAAGGATTGAGACAT